AAGGAAGGAAGGAAGGAAGGAAGGAAGGAAGGAAGGAAGGAAGGAAGAAAGAAAGAAAGAAAGAAAGAAAGAAAGAAAGAAAGAAAGAAAGAAAGAAAGAAAGAAAGAAGGAAAACACTTCCAAAAAAATTCATGAATTAAGGGCTGGACTGCAGCCCAGCAGTAAAGCATGTGCCTGCCATACTCAAAGCCCTATATTCAATCACTAGCATAGCAAATAGAAAAAACAACAACAAAGAACAAAAGAAACGAAAACTACACACCAACATTATTCATGAACTCTGGTACAATTATTACCATTTTTTTAATTTAGCATACAAGCCCAGTGTAGTGGCACACGCCTATAATCCTAGCACTCAGAGAGGCAGAGGCAGGTGAACCTCTGTGAGTTCAAGGTCAACTTGGTCTACAAAATAAGTCCAGGACAGCCCAGGCTACACAGAGAAACCCTTTTCGAAAAACCAAAAAGAAAAAGAAAAAATATTAGCATTCAGAGTAGGACTATAATACAGTGGTACAGCACTTGTCAAGCATGCATGAGGTCCTAGATTTAATCCCTATCATTAGGGAAAAACAAATAGCAAATAAATCCGAAAAGCATATAAAAAGAAAAACACAGCTAGGTATAGTGGTCAAGCTGAGCATGCAAGAAGTAGAGGCAAAAAGACACGAGTCTGAGGACAGCCTGAGCAACACAGAGACCTTGTCTCAGGAAAAAGAGCAGCATGGTTTGTTGTACATTCACCAGCAACTGAATCTATCCATTTCACTGACAAACCTGGGGATTCCCTCAGGAATCCGAAGCTCTCGTCACCACCAGCTTTTGTCAAGGCGCTAGTGGAAGCTGTTTCTCCTTACCTGCCTTCAAAGGTGTGCCCCCGCCTTGCTGAAGCTTGGCTCTTCTCAAAGAAGTTTTACCCTGAAAAGGTTCTCCTATTCCATTCTTCCCAAGAAACTTGTTTTCCAAGTTGGCCTTCTCATCTGTGAAATAATCAGTAAGGAAGCAAAACAAAGGAAAATCATGTATTAAAATGAGGAGTAAAGCCCATTTCCAGCATGTTTAACAAAACACAATTCTAGCAACTAAAGGAAAGTACCATATATTACACGTCAAGAACAAACTGCAAAATTATTTGCAAAGACTTGCAACATCCAGCACCTTCCAGAGAAGGAAAGTTGCAGATTCTGAACTGTGTGTGACTCCTTCCCATTGTTAAGACAGTGAGGGCCACTTGGACATTATCTGGCCCTATCTACTATTTAGTACACCAAGTGCCCTTGAAGAAAGTTTGGCCACCAGGAACTGTAAGATTACAAGGGACAGTTTCTACTCACTGAGCGTGGGATGTGTGAGACTGGAGCAGAGCAAAGTTTTCTCAAGCAGTTTTATCTTGGGTTCTTCTGTGACTAAAGCTGATGTAGAATCCCTGTCCCAGCAATAACACACTGTATCAAGCTGCAGGAGCACAGTGAGCCCCTGGAGAACTCTACTGTGCACAGACATTCTGATAATAACCGTGAAAAGATGTGATAAGACGAAGGAAAACAAGAAAGAAATATACTACAGCTAAGATGGTTTTCTAAGTACAGAATTATTTTTTCTTTCAGACTCTGTATTTACTCTCATTGCTATATTAATATTCCCTTTTTGTGGATACTGGGAACATAAAGAAAACTTGTAAAAGCCAGGAGCCAGGCGAGGTGGTGCACACCTGTAATCCCAGCATTCAGGAGGCAGGGGCAGGCAGATCTCTCTCAGCTCGAGGCCAACCTGGTCTGCAAAGCAACTGGGATGGACAGCCAAGGCTACACACACACACACACACACACACACACACACACAAAACACCCTGTCTCAAAAAGAAAAAACAAAAACCAAAAAGAAAATGTGAAAAGAAATCTTGAGACAGCCGGTGTTACTTCTGAGTTGCAGTGTTATGGGACATGGACAAGACCTCTCTAGGCCTTCTTATCTGCTATTCCTTCAACACAGCCCTCTCCTAGGCCAGACACCATCTCATTTGGACTCTGCATTTTAAGTGGTGCAGCCACAATAATCATTTTTATTTCTACCACATATTGATGTTAATGTTCCTTAATGAGGAAGGTGGAGACAAGAGAAAGGATAAAATGAGAAGCATCTTCAACAACTGGACTCACTTATCCCGAAGTCATATCAAAATAACAACTGTAAGCTGGGGGCTGGCACAATGGCTCAATGAGTAAGAGCACTTGCTGCTCCTGCAGAAGACCCAGATCTGTTCATAGCACCATGTCCAGCAGCCCACAAGGGCCTTTAAAGTAGGCTCAATGATCTCAGCCCCTCCCATGACCTCTGTGGGTACTACACTCTTTCACATGCAGGTAATGTACACATAAATAAAAATAAAAATCTTCAAAAAATGTTTTGGCCTGGTTTTAGGCTTGTACCATTTTGCAGAACTCCAATTAGGCTGTCTTACCTATTTATGGATTGGGTTGTTAGTATCATAGTGCCTCCATTTAAAAATTATTCTGGGAAGGCTGGAATGGTTAGGAGTGTGTAATCATCTTCAGAAGACATGACCTTGGCTTTCAAAACCACATTAGGTGGTTTACAACTGCTTGTAATTCCAATTTCAAATGAACCAATACCTCTGCAGGCAAATGTACTCACAAGTACACATAACCAAAACAGATACAGATGCATATACAAAAGTAAAATTTTCTTAAAACACACATAAAAGGTATGTGGTGCTGGGGTTGTGCTCAGGTTGGTGGAGTGCTTGCCTACTATGCACAAGTATTTAATGCAGCCCCAAGTACTACATAAGCCGGGAGAGGTCATATACTCCAATAACCTCAGCACTACGGGGTTCAAGTAAGATGAGAAACTCAAGATCATCCTCAGATATACTGAGTTCAAGGCCAATCTGAGATACAGGAGACCTCAACTCAAAAAAGTTAAATTGAAAAATGAACTGACACTCAATTTCTAGCACATGGAAGGTGAAGGTTGGAGGCTGGAAACCTTACAGGTCAGATTTGTCTCTGTCTCCAAAAATTAAACAGCCTAAGCTGGAGAGATGTCAACAGCAAGCCAGGCACAATCTAGTCATATCTCTTGAGCACAGGTGTTCAAGGCCAGTCTCAGAAACAGACAAAGCAAGACTAATCTCAAAGGTATTCAAATATGTAAAAACAAATATGTAAAATAAAATAAAAGGGCAACATGGGCTCTTTGTGATTTTTAGAGCCATTCGACATCTTGACTGAGATGCAAGCTTCATGAACCTTGATTGACAAAAGCTACACACACACACCCTAGAGAAATCTAAGGCTAGCAGGATGTAGCAATGTCAGGTGCAGTCTATGCCTGGATGACAATGGGGTAAGTTTTATATGATCACCACCATGACAGACATGCCTGAATCCTCAAGTTTCATTAAACCCTGTTTCATCTAATTGAGCCTTATGCACCTACAGCCTTAGTATTTGAGTTTGAGACCAGCTTGGTCTACAGAGTGAGTTCCAGAATAGGTAAGGCTACATAGAGAAACCCTGTGTCAAAAAAAGAGGAAGGAAAAGAAGGGAAGGAGGAAGGAAAAAAGGAAGAAAGAAAGGAAAGAAAAGCTTGGCATGGTGGGTCACACCTGTAGTACTAGCATTTCAGAGGCTGAAGCAGGAAGACTGTCAGAAGTGCTGGCCCAGTCTAGGCTACAGTCTGAAACCTTGTCTCAAAAAACTTAATTTCACATGAGAACAGATTTCTGTAGTTTAAAAGTTAACTGTTTTTCTATTAAACCACAGGTGAGAGGGAATCACGGTGTGGAAAGAATGTATAATTACTTTTTTGGCAGCCTCTTGTTTTTTAATTTGTTTAATTTTATTAATTTATTTTTATGCATATAGGTGTTTTGCCCTCATATATGTCTGGGGAGGCCTGAAGAGGGGATTGGATCTCCTAAGACTGGAACCACAGATAGCTGTGAGCTGCCATAGTGGGTTTGGGAAGTTAGCTAGTGCTCCTAACTGCTGAGCCATCTCTCCAGGCCTTCTTTTACTCTTGAACTGTCCTTAGCACAAAAGATACTAACCCTTAAAATGGTAGAGAAACATCAGGGTGGTGGTGTGCGCCTTTAATCCCAGTGCTCAGGAGGCACCGGCAGGCAAGCTCTGAATTCAAAAGCGCAAGTACCGGGATGTATACTCTATATACACAGAGTAACCCTTTCTTGAAAACAAACAAAACAAAACAAAGCAGTGAAAGTAGCCACTCACCAAACCACGAGTCCACATTTTCAGTATCTTCTTCAGCATTCAAAGATGAAAAATTGATAAAGTCGGTGGGGGCGTCAAAAGAGTAGGTAGCTGTAACTTGTGACATTGCCCCCAATTAGTGTAGGAGGACTCGCTTGTCCCAAGACTCCAACACCGTACTCAACAGATCGCCTTCTGAGGAAAGAAATGGTCACAAAATTAGGTTGTACATAAACATTAGGTATTGAGCCCTACCAACTACTTTGGCTTTACATTTTCAATTCAGAAAATCTTCTAGGGCCAAGCATGGCACATGCAGGCCTTTAATCCCCGCACTTGGTAGCACAAAGCAGGTGGATCTCTGTGAGTTCAAGACCAGCCTGGTCTACATAATAAATTTCAGGTCAGCCAGGGCTAGTGATTACCTGCTTTAGCTTGTGGACTTAGAAAGAAGCCAGTTTGGGGCAGGTGAGAGGGGTCAGCAAGTGAAAGTACCTCCCACCAAACCTGATGACCTAGTTTGGTTCTCTAAAATCCACATAGTGGCGAGAGAAAACTGACTCCCGCAAGTAGACCTCTCATCTCCATACACATGTTGTGGCGTGCATGCACACTCACACAAATAAATAAACATATAAACTTTTATCTTTTTTTTTTTTTTAAGAAAAAGCCAGTTAGGCACAATGGAACATGCCTGTAATCCAAGCAGAGGCAGGCAGATATCTGAGTTCAAGGCCAACCAAGTCTACAAAAAAAGAAAGAAAGAAAAAAAAGGTCAAGTTTGAGTACCTACAATATGCCATTTACTATTGGGTGTTGCATTCATTATTAATTTTCCTTCAATCTGCCATTTTCTTACTTTGAAGGCTTCCTCCACCTATGTATTCAATCTCTACCTGATAACCTAATTTCTAAAACACAACATCAACCTTTTTTTTTAGATTTTATTTATGATGTACACAGTGTTCTGCCTGCATGTGTGCCTGCAGGCCAGAAGAGGGCACCAGATCTCATTATAGGTGATTATGAGCACCATGTGGTTGCTGGGAATTGAACTTAGAACCTTTGGAAGAGCAGTCAGTGCTCTTTAACCTCTGAGCCATCTCTCCAGACCCCAACAACATTAACTTACACCTTTCAATCTTAACCCAAGTCCAACTAAGTATCAACCAGTACATATGAATAACTCCAAAGCCACAGTGTTAGCTTATCTCCTCTACAACAATAAGCACTCAACTTGTATCAGCTAACTCCATAAATGTTTCTCCTGGCAGATTGCACATCTGAAGGCAAAAGCTCATCTTAGTTGTGTATATCAGGGTGCTTAGCGGAGTGCCTTATAGATACAAGAGTGAGACATGGTTATGCCAACTGTGTTTTATTCCTTAGAAATATCTTAAGACAACACTATTCCTGGGCTGCAGGTGTAGCTCAGTGGTGGAAAGCAAACTCAGTATGCTTGAGGATGTGAGTTTGATCTCTAACACTGAGGGGCAGAAGAAAAAAAACAAAACTATTCCTAGGTACCTTTGAAGAAAATGACCTCATACACATCGAAGGCACAACATGCAGAATAAGTACAAAGAACAAGTCAGCAATACGAACCTAGCCCTGATTCCATCAAAACCGCACTCCACCATGCGCAGCAAACCTAGTAAGTTTAACTCTCCTGCTCTAGTTCTAGCTAGTTAACAAGACAGCTGAAGTAGTCTGAAAAACTGCCTAAAGGCCACACTCACTGACAAACAGAACTGTTTGTCCTAGAAAGCACCCTGAGACGGCATCAGGGCACACTGCCTGTGATTCCTAGCACTCAAAGGCAGAAAGAGGAAAACTCTGGACAAGCTAGAATCTAGCCTGGTTTACACAGCAATTTCCAGGCCAGCTAGGGCTACAGAGAAAGACCCTATCTCAATAAAAAGGAAAGTAGGTAACAATAAGGGAAGTAAGGAAGTAGATAACAATATTTATATAAAAGTTATCCCCTCCCTTGGGATCTGTGGGACGGCCCAGTACAAAGGCTTTAGCTTACCATACCTGACAATCTGTATTTCACTCTGGTACCCATATGAAAGGAGAGATGTGACCCCTGCAAGCTATCCTCTGACCTTCATAGGTGTGCCATGGCACATATGCACACACAAACATTTTTTTTTAAAACTTTAAGTTGAGTGTGGTGAAGCATGCCTTTAATCATACCACAGAAGACAGAAGCAGGTAATCTCTGTGAGTTTGAGTCTAGCCTTGTCTACTTACTGAGCTCAAGGCTAAGTCAGAGCTATATAGTGAAACCTTGTCTCAAAAACAAAGACACACACACACACAACCTTTCTCTAAATGTCTATAAAAATTAATTTAATTTTTTATTTTATATTGGTTTTTCAAAACAGAGTTTCTCTGTGTAGCCTCGGCTATCCTGGACTCACTTTGTAGACCATGATGGCCTCGAACTCACAGAGATCCACCTGCCTCTGCCTCTCCAAGTGCTGGGATTATAGGCATGTACCACTGTCCTGGCTTAAAAATTAATTTTATAAAATTCATGCTCATTTAAACCAAAACACTTGTAAAAAACATTGAAGCAGAGCCAGGTGTAATAGCATACTCATGTAATCCCAGCACTCGGGAGGTAGAGGCAAAAGGATGGGAGTTCAAGGCTAGCCTGGGCTACATAAGACCCTATCTCAAAACACATACATACACATAGAGCAAGGTATGTAGTTTACACCTAGAATCCCACCACCCAGGAGCAAAGGCAGGGTGACTTACTGCAAATTCAAAGCTAGCCTGGTCTACATACACAGCAAGTTCTAGGGCAGTCAGGGCTCTGAGAGTGAGTAAACAAACATTACAGTCATAGTTGCAACCCCAGTATATTTTGAATCTGTTTCACTATTCTACACAATACTCCATGGCAATGAATTTGAGCATATACCATCATTTGATGAAATGTAAAAATTGCTTCATCTGGATGTGGTGGTACATGCCTGTATTCCCAACACTCCGGAAGGCAGAGGTATATGGATCTCTGTGAGTTCCAGGACAGCCTGGTCCACAAAGTAAGTCCAGGATAGCCAAGGCAACACAGAGAAGCCCTTTCTCAAAAAACCTCAAAAGCAAACAAAAAACAAAAACAAACAAACAAACAAAAACCTTCTAAGCTGGGCAGTGGTAGCACACACCTTGAATCCTAGCACTCAGGAGGCAGAGGTAGGCAGATCTCTGTGAGTTTGAAGCCAGCCTAATCTTCAGAGATCCAGAACAGTCAGAGCTACATAGGGAAACCCTGTCTCAAAACAAACAAACAAACAAACAAACAAACAAACAAACAAACAAACCTTTCTATAAAAAATTCTTATAGCCAATATTCTGTACATATTTGTTATTTTCTCTAAAATAATTTTATTTATTTATTTTTTAATTAATTACAGGTTATTCACTTTGTATCCCAACTGTAGCCCCTCCCTCCTAAAATAATTCTTATGATGCCGAGCCAGAGTACCTTACTGCATACTGTGAAAATGTTCCTCAGAAGAGCAGCATATCCCCAGGGAGTGTTCCACTTCCTCAATTCCATCACCACCACCGCTATACATTGGTACCCTGCATACTGGATGTCTCTGAAATCACTGTCACCATATTCTGAGCTCAATCACCCGACCTTCACTACTGCCCGGTGGCTTGGCCAGCATTTCCTCACCTTCTCAGTGAGCTGCTACAGAAAGTACTTCTGGGTTTAGAGTATCTCAGAAATATTGTTTTAACAAACAGCAGATTTCTACCGTGACATCATTATACATATTACACATCCCATACAACTTCTCCCTGGGAACTCCTTACAGCTGTAGCTCTTTATAGCAGCATTCTAGATGAGGACTTAGCATAGAAACATGGTATCTCAAGCTGGAAAGAACTGCAGGTATCATCTGATTTTGTTTTTTTTGTTTTTGTTTTTCAAGACAGGGTCTCTCTGTGTAGTTCTGGCTGTCCTGGAACTCACTCTATAGACCAGGCTGGCCTTGAACTCAGAGATCCTCTTGCCTCTGCCTCCGGTGTTTTGCGATTAAGGGTGTATGCCACCAAGCCCAGCTGGTAACATCTGATTTTTGCAGCTTATAGATATGGCTAATTAAAACAAACCAGGGTTTACCAAAAACCACAAAACAATACTAAAATTGTGGTTTAAAACATAGGAACTAGAAATGCCAGACTGCATTACGTACTAAATCTGTTATTTCAAATGCTCATTCACAACCTTAAAAGCATCACTTATTGTCCTTATCCTAGTAGAGGAAGCTAAGGACCAGAAAGTACTGTTTCCTGTCTGGTCATGTAAAGGCCTATCTCTCAGCTGCAGCACAGCCTCTGACACGCCAATGACAGTGTTAGGAACATCGGGTCTCCATTTGTGTATAAGACAGCACTGCATTTGTTTTCCACAGTCTTCTGACCTGAAGAAGGTTCTCTATGATGCCAGTCTAAACTTTTCACTCTTCATTTCCACTTTCATTATTCAAGGTTTTTCGTTTGTTTTGTTAATTTGTTTTATCTTGGGGTTTTGTTTTTTCGTTTATTTATTGCTGCTGGGTTTTTGTTTGCTAATTTGTTTTGTTCTTGTGTTTTTCCTTTTTTTTTTTTTTTTTAAGACAGGGTCTCACTATATAGCCCTGGCTTACCTGGAACTTGATTTGTTCAATGGGATCAGTTAGCCTCTGCCTCTGGAGTGCTGGGATGCTGGGATTAAAGGCGTGCAATATGACCTAGCTTTTTGTTGTTGCTGGTGGGGGTGAGGGTAAATGCAGGGACTTACATAACACAGGTTGGCCTGGAACTTGCTATGTAAACCACACACACACACAATACATACATACAAATTCATACCATACACACACACACACACACACACACACACACACACATACACACACACACATACACACAAAGTTGTTTTTTTTGTTTTGTTGTTTTGTTTTGTTTTTAATTAGTGAAGGATTTCTCTGGCAATAGTTAAAAATTCCCTGCTTGAAAAAAGGACATTTTTAGCTGAGCATGGTGGCACACACCTTTACTCCCAGCACCCAGGAGGCAGAGGCAGGTGGGTCTCTGTGAGTTTGAGGACAGCCTGGTCTATAAAGATAATCCAGGACAGCCAGAGCTCTTATGCAGAGAAACCCTGTCTCAAGAAAAAAAAATTT